TATTTATTAGTAGCTGAAATGTTTTGACTCTCATTTTGCTTTATTTTAAACGCTTTGTATGACATCAGCTGGTATGTTCAGTTTGGGCTTTGATTAGAAACAATTTCAAACTTGCAAAAAGTTTATCAGTTTTCTTTTCTTCCATAAGCTTGACTTTTTTAAGAATGCAGACCACTCATTTTGTACTTACATTTGCCTCTCATAGGTCGTGTTTTTTTTCCTCCAAAAATTATGCTGTGTTCTCAGTTGTTCATTAGAATTCAGATAATGTCGGTGTGTCTCACTACTGGTAATGTTAGCTTTTGCTTGGATAAGGTGCTCTCCTATTCTGTTCTCTACAAACTTGCAACTGCTAGTTTCCATTCATTGATGGTACTGCTTAAATCAATTATTACCATGATGATTTCCAAACAGTGACTTTCTAATTTCATCACTATTTCTACATTTAATAATTGGCAGTTTATGTTAAGGAAAGGTTTCCATTTCCTCTAATTAATTTATTTATATTAATACACACTAAGAGAATACTATGTATGATATATACTACTAATTCTTGGGAAATACCTGTGAAGTATTTAGAAGGGTAAATAGTAGTAATACACACACACAAAGAGTGTTGAAGAAATGTCAATATCAATCATTCAATCTAGGTGGACAGTATATGGGAGATCACTGTGTACTATTTTATAACTTTTTTGCAGATTTCAATTATTTCAAAACATGATCAAAAATAGTTATTTTAACTGAAACACTGTCAAGACCCTCACAAATATATCCAAAAATCAAAATCAGCCTACGGATTTAATTTATCAGCTTTTGAACATATACAGATTTTATTACCATTGTCTATAGAAATTTAACACCAGCATCTGCGCAACACTCCTCTCGGGCAGAGGGAGAACACCACAGACAAATATTACAGACTGAGAACAGTGCCACACTGACAAGACTGTTTCTTGATTCAGTAAACCAAGCCTGACAAACCAACCAACTCAAGGTGACTGATTCCAGTTCGAGGACATACATGAACTTATTATTACTTGGTGAACATGACAAATAATATCAAAGTGTTACACAGACTTACAGAAGTTCAGAATTTCCCCCTCAGACTAGATAGAGACAGGTTCACAACATGGAAACCTGTACATTACAGTACTTTGAGGTTTTAGCAAAGCAAACTTTATAAACACATTCGCCATACAGTGCAATTTTATTGTGTAAGACATGAATAATAGTGCACTTAAATCCAAGAGTCGCATTCAAATATATCAAGAGTACAATCCAAATACCCGGCTATTGTTAGAAATACATTTTTTTTTAAATAAACTAAGTTGTGCAAGTACAATATTTTTAGTGTAGATGGTAATAGATCTATATGGGTTCTAAACCACGGGAATCGGGGTGTATCTGTGCAGAATTTACTTCTCTAAAAAGATGTGCATTTTCAGAGTGAAGCAAATGTCTTGGCCCGACAGACACAGGCAGTGTTGCAAAACTCAATCTTATTACAAATCACAAACACATAAAATCCTTAGATTTGCAGATGGTTGAACAGAATGGCTCTAAAAGTCAGTCAGCTCTCATCAAGACAATGTAGTGTCTACAGTGAGCTATGTTCTCTTCCACTAAAGTAAGCTCAAACTACTGTTCCCAGTGTGGTTCATGAGTAAGGGCATTAGGTTTCTTAAAAGAGAATTTAGGTAAAGGTTCAGAAATTTTAAAACCTAGGGCTAGAATTTCGGAGGATCTCCTCCGGGACTATCAGTATCATGGAAGAAGATGCTGTGGAGAGTGGATTATAAAGCCTGAGCGTAGGTAGAAGTAGTCTTATTAAAAAAAAATAAAAATTATAAATCAAATATAATAAATTTAGCATTTTATATCATCTAAGAATAAATATAAATGGAGAAATCAGTCTTTCAATGTTTTTTGTTAAGATGGTGAAAAACATAAAAATACTATCTGGTAATAACTTACAATACCAGCTCTGGAGAGGCAGTTTGTCTTCTTGTTAAATAATGAGAAGTAACTGACTTACATCTTGAGGTGTGGCACAAACCTGTACCAATGTGGTAATGCCATCCTTCCCTGGTGAAGGTCAAAGTTTCCAGAACAGGAGGGCAGCTATTCTAAAAATTACCCACTCCCTATCCAGGAAATACTTTTCTAACAAAGAATGTCCACAGTATCCTTGTGTAGTTTTCATTCAGTAAATTGTAAGTGGACAAATGTTAAAACCTTTGCCTCAGATTAAGTCTGATGATAACTGAACCTGATGACCTTCTGAAGACTGACAAGTACAACAGCTATTCCTGAAGCCAGAAAACTACCAGAGTTCTGTCTTTAATCAGATCTTTCAAAGGCAGCAAAATGTTTTCACTTTAAGAAACTGTTAAATCTTTTCCATGATATTGACTTTATTTAACATAAGCCAGTTACTGACTAAATCAAAGACTAAATAAAATCCCACTAAACTTCATCTTTAAAATGAAAGGCAATGAGATCCTACCTCTAATCAGGCCTCGGAGGTCAAAGAAAAGTTTTTAAATCCTCTATATGGGATTTTCAATGAATCTATCATTATCTTTGCAAGTTTGCTCAAAAATCATTTAAAATTCTACTTTGACAGCCTAATTTTTCTAAGAAATAAAATATATTTATAAGTTGTTTAAAAGCTAATGGATTTTATTATTTTGCTTTTCTTTCCATTTAATGTTAAAACAAAAATTTTAATCAATCCAATTACTAAAAAGTTTCAGGTTTCTTATATAATCAAGTAAATATATTCTTCTGATTTTCAAAAAATCATTAGCTTACATCTCAGGATCCTTGGTGTTACTGAAGAAGGACTGTAGTCCTTTGTATTTCTGAAGATGATCTTTGGGGATCTACTCTATGAAACATTTCCCGCTGTCAACCAACCTCTCTACAGAAGAAGAGTGACGACTAACGTATGTGGACTGATCACCTCACACTTGATTATATCTGGCTCATACAGGGCATCTGCTTGCTTACTAATTCTGTCACCAACCTTTTCATTCAAGTTTTTAAAGCCATATTCACCAAAGGCAACTCTCCAGACCTAATGCTTAACAAGTATTTTTTCATGAGCGTATCCATTGTAATTTATTCTCCTCACCCAAGGGCAGTAACTTCATAGTATTGCTAGAAACCCCTCTTCAAATTATAGTGATGATGCACTTGTTCTTGACAGGGTTCTTGAGTTTGGGGAAACTGTAATATTTACATTATTAAGTGACCTTTTTGAAAGTGCACTTATAGCAAAATATATTTTTACAACTTGCAAACAGATCTGAGGTTTGGTTAATCCCTATTTATAAGTTAACGTTAAAATACAAACTTATCCTGTCTCAACAGGAGAAAGAAAAAAAAAAAACTGAAATACTAGGCTATTACTGTCTATGGCTCTCACATCAAGTGTTCATCAGGAAGACAGGTGTAAACTGATGGCTTGTGAGTTTCCCATGACCAAGCCCAACAACAATTCCCTTCCAAGTTGCTACCCATGGAAGCCCTGCAGCTGATCAGCATAAGCAGTGGAAGTTGTTTCTAAAAAAATCACTAAGGAAATCTCCAGATGGTTCTCCTTATCAGTCCATTAGTTGAAAAGAAAAGGGCTCTTTTTTCATATGTGGCCTTCAGACAAAAATAAGAGAAGACAAAAAGATTAGCTGCACAAACAAACAAAAGGAATTTTGAGGATCCATAAAAAAGTGAGGCTGTTTCTTCTTTTTCGAAACTCAGACATTTCATAGAACATGGAGATATGGGCAGCAAGAACACCTCTAAAGCTCCTTCCCTTAGTCTTTTGTGAAGGTGTCAATGCCCCAGGAATCATGACTACAGTCAAGAAAATAGGCCAAGAATAAAACTGAGCTTAGAGAAGAAGGCAGGCAAACTTACCTAGACCATTTGACTGTTGATGGTTATCCAGCCTTTTGTACAAGTCTGAGAAAGGCAAAAAAGAGGAAGTTTGGGAATTTGAAGACAGAAAGCATCTGCCACTTTCTAAGGCTCCTGAATGTGGCCATAAATTTTGCAAGAGTATATTTTTGAAAGTTGTATTTTTACCTCAATACCTAACTCTGCAGCAGGGTCCAAAGCCATGTTACTACTGAAATCATATGCACAGATGGTGTAGAAACGGTATTACTCTCCAAATATCCTCTTAAAGGAAAACTAGAACGGACGGTATTGTTACCATGAGCAGTGCCATTAGATAGAAACACATCTGGATAGTACTGAACCACAAACATTCAGAGCTGCAGTTATAACCAAGATGCAGAGCAGGAGCACGGCCACTGCTATTCTGTAACACTGAGACACTTCAGAACTGCTTCTGAAGTTTAAACAGAGCTGCATCGTATTAAAAAAAATCTCCTCCTTCAGTTAAATTATGTTTGCCTAACACATATTGGGCAAATTAGTGGAGTCAAGATAAACTTGCGAATGGCTCTAGCCAACAAGAAAGTTTTAACAACCATAGTCCCAGTAAATGCTTAAAATACTTAAAAATAAAATAAACGCACACATACACATATAAAACAGTGCAATTAGAACTTCTGACAAGGGCAGTGCATCTCTGGTTTAAGGAAACCATATTTGTAGCTTAATCTTAACAAATTCACCTTATTCTAAATGATGATTTAATTTTATATCCAGTATTTGATACACATTTTATATGCATGGTCAGAGACCTGAAAAACAAATTCAATAGTAACAGTTCTCTCTTAATAACAAATTCCTACTTGAATTCTATATTGCACATACTTTAGTGTCTGCTCTTCAAATAAATTTAATTCTTCTTAATGCAAAAATCAAATGACCATACCTGTTGCCCTTACAGAAAGAAGGTACCTTGAACAAGTATTCCAACTTTCCTTTCTTGACAATCCAGAATGAGAATGAATTCAAATTTGTTAGTCTAAAATTGTAAGAGAATGGTCATTTTATGTTGCAAAGATAATGGAAATAGCATATTAAACAAAATTTTTTGTTTATTAACCACTTCAGTTTTAAAAAACATTTCTATACCAAGAGTGCTAAAAAGCTTGACTCTTTTATTAATTCACCAAATATTCCCTAAAGAGATTTCATCATACCCTCAACTGGTCTGGAGTACTGTTTGGAAACAGGACGAGGAGGAGAGTTTTGGTAAAATGATGTGTGACACAAATGCCATTAAACAGGTCACTGATCCCATGTAAAATGGGACCTCCTTCCTGTTTCCAAAGCAATGTGATCATAGTGGGTGTGGTTTCTACAGTGCTGAGAGAGCATGACATCAGAGGGGTCCAAAGCCTTAAATTGAAGGCTATCAAGTACAAGTGAACTGCAGAAAGAGAGGGGAAGAGGAGGACTCGGCCCTGAAGGTCCTTAGGATGGTGGGGGTCTTTCAGGGACTCTCCCGCAGTCCATCCTCTGTTTCCAGTTCTGCCAACTGCCTCCTCAGCATGTTGACCTTTGCTTGTAATTCCCTGTTGTACTCAATGATGTTCACCATTTCCTCATATGCTTCATCCACATACTTGGAGGATCGGTTCCAACGTAGGAAAATTCCTATTGAAAATTCCACATGAGTGGAAAAACAGAAGGGAAAAAAATAATGGATCAACACCATGTTAGTGGATAATAGATAATTCCCTGTATTATACTGCACATTTTTTCTTCAACACATATTGTTTTGTTTATTTTTTAACAAGATCTAATTTGGTTTTTTTTGTTGTTGTTGTTGTTGTGGTGGTGGTGGTGGTGGTGGTGGTAGATGAACAGAATACCTTTACTTTATATTTTATTTATTTATATGTGGTGCTGAGGATTAAATCCAGTGGCTCACATGTGCTAGGCAAGCTCTGAGCTACAACCCCAGCACATGTTTATTATATTCTAAAACATACAGGCATCTTGAGGTACTGAAAGAATCCAATTAAATACAATAGCTAATAATTCACTATTTTTATGTACATGCTAATTCTTCAGAAAAATTCCACAAAATTCTCAAAGAGAGTAAAGTAGTATTCTGTGATATATTCAAGAAAAGAAGCTGATAACAATGCCACAAACTTCCCAGTTTCACGATGCAAATAATTTATTTTTACACTCACAGGGTTTACTCTGGCCCGATTTCCTACATGTGTGAAACCTCTTTCACTGGAAATTGACAGTGATGGCAAAAGCAGAGCCCACATGGGTTGCTGCCTCAACTTCAGCACAGCGTGTGCTCTTCTCCTCTCATTCCCCCAGTATTTGAGAGGCATAATTGCTTCCCTTGTCAAATAATAATTACCCTTTTACTACAGACTAAAAGGATTTATAGTCCTCAGTATCAGCAGGGTAACTGGTTCTAGACATCCTCTTCCCTTGGATACTAAAATCCTCGGATGCTCAAGTCCCTAATGTAAATGACATAATATGTGCACACCCTTCATATGTTTTAAATCTTCTCTAGATTACCTATAATACCTAATACAATGTGAATGCTATGTAAATAGTTGTTATAGGGAATAACAACAAGGAAAAACTTTACATGTTCAGTACAGATGCAATTTTTTTCCAACTATTTTCAACCTATGGTTGGTTACCTCTGTGCATGTGCAACCATAGATAAAGAAAGCCAACGCTTAAATATTAACTGACCTACACTGTTTCTTCTGTCACACAATTATTCTAAACCTATCATAAGATCTAACCTAATACAGCATTTATTTCTTCCAGCCCTGAGTTGAGGAAGCACTAAACACATACTGGGACTGTTCTTAATGGAGTAGCAGGAATTCATCCATGTAACAACAAAATTTTCCTTCTACCACTAATCTCTAAATCCCAATGAGGCTTGGTTAAAACTAGTTAAATAACACTTCAGGACATCCAACTCACAAAGTTGGCTTTTCTCCCCAAAAGCTAGCTTCTTCGGTGATTAAACATGACAGTGGCTTTTAGATAAATTGTCCTAAAGTCTTTAAACAGGAACTAAAGCTGTAATCTTTCACTTAAGGGATCACTTAGTCTATTCCTGTGACTGTCCACAAAAAAATAGGCAAAGAAGTTCTTTTCCTAGCAGCCAAAAGGCCTTCCCAAAATCAGTGCCTGGAATCCTAGCCTCAGAGAGCTTGGAGACTTCATGAAGCCATCTCCCCAACTCCCAACCAGGGACGCCTGGACAGGAGGGATTAGAGGCACATGCTGAGATGGCTGCCCCACAAGGAGAGGACACAGCGCTGACATTCAGAAGAGGTAGAAACTGACCAAGAAGGCAAACCATCTAAGACCTTCTGTATAAGGGCAAACAGCTCTCCACATGCAAAGTGCCCTCAAGATACAACACATTAGAATATGGTATAATCACTGACATTTATGGTAATTTAGTCTGATTCACCAAATAGCTACTATTCTTGTATCTTAAGCTTTATCACTCTTAATATGTACACGAATAAAGATGTGCTTACTGTCTTCAAATGATTACAAAGAAATTAAATGGTATTTTACAGCCTTTGTTTGATGAACAGCTAATATATTTTAGATAGCTTTTGGTAATTTTTTCAGAATAAGCTTTGCTATTTAAGGGGATGAGCTTCAGTAGTCTGAAAAATTAGTATATGTAAATAACCTACTTTAGAATACATGTAAAAGCTGAGCGTGGATTATTGTTCTATATGAACAATGAGATGTCTGCAATTCTGCACTGACGGTATTGTGTCTATTTATAGGACATTACTAGAATGAATGAAAACTTAACCATTTGATAGCATTTACACAGGAACCTACCATAATAACAGCATAAAAGGGAAAACAGCTTATAATTTATTCATATCCAACTACCTACTTAACCTCTGTTATGCAAAAGCAATGCATTTTCCTATCTGGGGAAAACAGAACAAGAAATAAATACAGCAGTGTATCATCACTCTCAATTTCTCCAATGGGGACTAGAAAAAATGTGATAAGATGACTAATCAGAGACCACTTAGTAACAGTAACAATGACAAACAGGCCTGAAGACCCCATCCAGGCACAGCAGCACAAGCTCTTGGGCAGCCGGGAGAGCATCTGGGAGTGGTTAGTCAGCAAAGGGAATGGTTTACCTTCCCACAGCTGGAGACTCTGTGGAGCAACCGAAGGCCAGATGACCAGGTTGTTGGCTTCGAAGAGAGGATTGGCAAACTTACTCAGCTCACTGGGCCGATTGACCCAGGACCACAGAGACATCGTTTTCTGCTGGAGCTTCAATTTACATCTGATCAAGAAAGAAAATCACCATCAAACAATCACTATGAAATGTTCCTCTTAATAGGACAATTTGTCTGCTCTGTACAATAGAAGGCAGAACACAAGACCTTTAGTAGAGAAATAAAATACTGTAAAATAAAAATATCTGTCATAAAATTCCATCAGCATTATAACTCTCAACAAAACAAAGTCTGTTTTACAGGCCTCCAAGAAACGGGCAAAAGACAAAACCAGAATCAGGTTATGTTGGGTTTGCTGATAAAGCTTAATCCAAAGTCCTTTATTATATCTGGGATTCACTGTATATATATATCTATGTATGTGTATGTATATATTCAGGTACTAGGATTTGAGCCCAGGAACACTTTACTACTGAGCTATACCCCCAGTCCTTTTTAATTTTTCATTTTGAGACTGAGCCTTGTTAAGTTGCTAAAGCTGGCATAAAACTTGTGATCCTTCTTCCTTAGTCTCCAGAGTCTCTGGAATTTAAAAGCATGTGCCACTGTGCCTGGCTCTGGGACTATATTTAAATTTAAAATAGCTAAATATTAAAAAAAAAAAACTTCCTACTTTCTTTGTTTCTGAGAAGCCTATATAAAGACACAAAAATTTATACATATTAAAAAGGAGGTTGAATCAAATCTCAAAATGTAAAAATTTTTTAGAGAATTATTTAGCTTTTTGGAAAACTAACACATACATAAAACATAAATTGTCAAAGATTTAAAATGAACATGAATCTTGATGTAAAGCAGACTTAATCTACATCCATACCCAATGAACAATCTTTGTAATAATCCTCATATAAACTCTTTGACACTATCATGGAATAAACTATTTGGAAGGAAAATGGACTGCTACATTTTAGGAAAATGTAAATTTAACAAAGATTGAAAGCCTGTGGTAAACTTGTATTAACCAAAAAGATAATACCTTCAATTTTCACAGGATTCACTACTCAAGCTGAAGTTTTATTATAAAGTCAGGTTTGTCCCTGAAACCACTTGATTGTTTACAAAGCTGCATACAAGTTAATTATGTGTGTTTTTTGTATGTAATACATGTTTTCCACCTAATCACAAAATCTGTATGGCACTGGACTTTAACTGTTAGTACAGTGTGTCCCACACTATGTTCCCAGGAACCAAGGATGGCAAGGACAGGACATCACTGCACCCAGGGGCCACAGCCCCATGCTTCCTGCCCATGGCTAGCCAATCCCTGAACTTTATCCAGCAGAGCCCAACAGAGCTTCAGAATCCTCCTCACTCAGCACTACCAGAACTCTACAACTGGGGAGCAGAACATGAATCTACCTGTGATTCCTTTGTCAGAGGTTAGTTCTGAGGGATATTAGGTGTAACACCAAACAGAAATTCGTGGTCACCAAACATATTTCCTTAAATGCTGAACTAGTCATATATGTCATTTTGCTGAAGGGTGTTTTAAAGCCTTTAATGATTGTTTATGACTCTGTAAGAAGTCATATGGCTAGAAAGATGCACAATGGAGATTTGAATATAAATCTTCTAATTTCAAATCTTGAACTTTTTCAATTAAAGGATACTGGAAAGTATGTAAAGGAGGCGAAGACGCTGCAGCACAAAGGTACCCAATGTACTCCAAAGCAAAATTTAGAAGTATGCACAATTCTAAAGGCATGGGGCTTCTGAATCTCTTTCTTTTTTTTTTTTTTTTTTTGGCAGTCCTGGGGATCAAACCCAGAGCCTTGTGCATGCTAGGCAAGTACTCTACCAATGAACTGCATCCTCAACCCTGGTACCCTACTCTTTGAGAAACTCCAAATCTGCTTCTCCTCCCTCTGGTGGCTGTAATGCTCCTGGTTTTCAGTGATACTGCAAATTTGAGCAAAGGAGTTGGTGCTAGGCAAAGTTCAAGTGCCCAAACCCTGCTGTTCTTATCAAGGGTTAGCAGTTTTTCTTGAATGAATGCTTTTCAGATTGTTGCAAGCCTTTATTTAATTTCCAGAAATCTAAATAGTTGATTTTTAAATATTTTTGCAAGTATTTTCATTGTTATTTGGAGGAGTCAATATTCAGAGGCCTTTCTTTTACTCTGTCATTCCAAAAGCCCTGTGCCTTGCCTAAGCGCACAATTCTAAATTTTGCTTTAAAGTACATTAGTACATTCATGCTATAGTGTCTTTGCCTCCTTTCCATACTTTCCAGTATCCTTTAATTGAAAAAGTTAAGATGAGAAAACCATGATGACAGAGAACTTTCTACAGCACTCATATAGTCCTCATTTTTATTTCTTCTGAAGTCAAAAATCTATAAGAAACTCAAATGTTGAAACATTTGCCAATTCAGCTCTAAATAAAACATGCATTGCTTTGTTCTCAGACTTTTATTTTGGTTGGTACCCAGGGGTACTTAACCACTGAGCCACATCCCAAGCCCCTTTTTATTTTTATTTTGAGACAAGGCCTCACCAAGTTGCTGAGGCTGGACTTGAACTTGTGATTTTCCTGTTTCAACCTCCCAAGTCACTAGGATTTCAGGCATGTGCCATCATACCTGGCTCTCTGTGACACTTAAATTAGGAAAGATAGAACAATTCCACTCATTTGTTTACATTCACTATTCAACTACATAGTGTTGGCATCCAGCAACAAGGCAAATCCTGCCCCTAGCCAGAGGAAGCCTGGTGATTGTAACCAAAGGAAAGATTACCAGCTATGCACCTCTAAGAACATTTTGATACAAATCTTCTAATAAACCGGTAAACCTGAAGTGCCTAGACTGTGAAGTGAGACTCAGTTGGGACTTGAGGCCAATTTCTAGGTATAACAGCTGGCCAGCTCTGTCAGCAGGAGCAGGAAGACCTATTTCTAGGCCAGACTTTTGGTGACTAGCCAGCTATGTGTCCCTAGACAAGTCACTTAACCTCTCTGAATCTTCTCTTAATCTATAAAGAAAGCCAAGGGACAGAGTAGGATCATATATTAAGGCTTCTTCCAAATGTAAGATATCATAATCCTATATAAAGAAATTAACATTTAAAATGGTTGCCCAAAATGGCTCAAAGTTTTTACTTAATGTATGAACTTACTTTAACCTAACAGAACAAAGTCTAGGATATCCTCTCCTCCAGCACGTGATTAGCTCTTAGACTACACTTCACGTAACTTAACTGTAGTCTCTACCCTTTTCTGTATAACATTAACAGACCCCCAAACCTTGTCTCTTTTGGGAAGTGACCAAGCAACTAAAAATGAAATGTCCCTTGTGCACTGTACCCACCTTTCACTTTCATTGTTGCCCAGAAATGTTCCAAACTGTGAGGCATATGCATGCTCAAAGAGCATGATGAGGAAATGCTCATTAAACTCAAAAGAGCAAGGGAACTGACGGAGTATCTGCCAAACACAGTCCAAGAAGAGAAGAAATACAGGCGCCTCCCACTTCTGCTTGCTATTGCAATAAGCTGACTGTGCACAGCGCTGTTGGAACGGGTGACCAGCCTATGGGAAAAGGTGGAAATTTAACTGTCACACCTGATGAGATCACATTACAATACATTCTATCAACATTACTGCACATAATTCCAATGAATTTTATATTAATTAAAACATCATAAACCTAGGGTAGCTCCTGCTAGATAATGATTTCTTGGTTCAAAATGAATAATTTTAGCAACTAAAGAAAGGTAGAATTCTAAATCCTTAACAAGGCTGTGTAATCAAGACATGACCTCAGCAATTGCTACTGTCCTTGGAATATCAAATGAAAAAATAATGAATTTAAGTAACGATAAATTTACAAAATAAACCTAAGTCTATAAAATGTGGAGCAAAGTCAAAGAACCTAAGTTCTCAGGTACAAAGCAAGGACAACAATCACCCTCTATCTGAAAACACTGTATGTTGTGCTGCAAACTACAGAAGCCTCACCACTAAATGGAGACAATCACCAGGACTCTGACAAACCATGTAAGTCTGTATCGGCTCTGATAGTAAGTCTTCAGTTACATGTGGGCAAAGTTAATGTCTTGAAGAAATCTTAATGAATACTGTACATTGATATTAGAGACAAAGCTGTCCTTAATAACCCTCTTCTCCTCCAAACACTCCAAGATCCTGCCCAAAGTACCCTGAAGAATAATCGGCCCTCCTGCCCAGAATACAAGCATTGATTTCATTACAAATCACTCTACTAGATATTTCAGAGTCCTGCTTTGTCTTTGGATCTGTGTACTACTGTATCTGACAGAGAGAATACCATGGAAACTTCCCATGGTTAACCCATCTGGGTACCCATCAAAATGAAAGCATGTGAATTAACCAAGCACATTTATTGGTTTGTCTACTATGCAGCATGAGGGAGGTGGCTGAACTGATTTCACCAACCAGGGAAGGCAAATACAATACAGGGAAGGTCTGACTTAAAACAGAGAACAGGGCATACATCACAAGAGTAACACACAGTACATTTGCAGGCTGGGCATGTAGCTTAGTGGTAGAGCACTTGTCTAAGCAGGCTTAAAGCCCTGGGTTCCATGCTCAAAACTGCAAAGAAATATACACATATACATGTAATGCATCTGCATTGTAACTGGAAGAACCAAAAATTCTTTGCATCTAAGATATGTCCTCTTTCAACATATATCTGAGCAATTATTTTCAATCACAATTATTTATCAAATTACAAAGTTAAAATAGATTCATAAATTAATCTCTGACTTGGAGGATTTCAGCTGATGCCATGAGAACTTTATTTTAATAGTCACTCGACATTATATGACAGCAGTGTACTATGTCCTAGGGATAAACAGATAAATAGGTCATGGTTTCCTGACCTCAAAGAAGTCACTTTAGGGGGATAGTTCAGAAAACAGGACATGAAGGGAAAGAACCAAATTTATTTGTAAATAAAGAGATAGGTCTCAAAGACTTCATGAAAGCAGTGACATTCAAAAGATGGATCTCAAAAGATGAAAAGGATTTCACCTGGTTAGGGAAGAGGATACGAAGCCACAAGGCAAAGGCAGGAAGTGCTACAATAATGCCTTCCCTGTTTATCACTATCAATACTCAGCTTCTAGGAGACTAGGCTGTTTTACATTCTTTGTAATTCCCCCATATGTAACCAAGTATGGGCTGAGTATTCCTTATTAAAATGTGTGGGATTTCAAATTTTTTCATGTTTTGGAAAATGTGCATATATATAAGGAGATATCTTGGGATAGAACCCAAGCCTAAATACAAAATTCATTTATGTCTCATGTACACCTTTTACCTATGACCTGAAGGTAATTTAGTACCCATTTTTTTAATTATTGTTTTACATGACAGTAGAGTATGTTTTGAAATATTATACATACATGTGATTGTACATGATGTGGAATTACATTGGTCGTGTATTTATATGAGGATAGAAAGGTATGTCCAATTCATTCCACTGTCTTTCCTATAACTACCCCTCCTCCTTTCCCTTCATTCCCCTCGTCTTGTCCAATGAACTTCTAATCTTTTCCTCTCTTGTTGTGGGTTAGCATCCACATATTAGAAAGAACATTCTGCCTTTGGTTTTTTGAGTACCCCTATGTTTTGACATAAGTCAAGTGTTAGTACTCAAACGTTTCAGATTCTGGATTAGTGATGCTCAACCAGCACAGCTAACAAGTCTTTTAAGTGGATGAAGTAATAAGTGAGCAATATAGTCAAAGAGACATCTAGAAATTGAGAGGGGTAAAGATCATAAACATTTACTAGAAGGAAGGTAGATTAATAGACCCACAGAAAATTAAACGCACAATTTAAAAATATTAACCAATCAAAATTTCACACACGATGTCAGCTACCCCATTTCAGGATGGCAACACCTCATAGATGGCTATTCTCACCTGAAGCCACTCTCTTTCTATAAGGGCCTCGAAACCTCGGACAGTCCGGCTCCGTGGTTCCAAAATGATCTGAGCCAGGGAGGCCGCCTGCAGGGTGGAGTCAGTTCCTTCTGCTCCGTGAATCAGAACCGATGCTCCTTCCCTGGTGGAAAACCCAGACACACATGGGACAATCCCGACACTGCCAATGAACTGCTAACAATAAACACTAACTGAGTCGATATTTTAAACTTATGCACTATTCTCTGTCCTACTCTCTATTATTGGATAGACAAAGACATTATCCAGCTCCCTCACACTAAATAAAGCACTGGATAGACAAAGGGTTTCTAGAGAAAAAAAGGACTATGATGAGTCCCAAATTTCACATGGCCAGATTCCCATTAAATTATAACAAATTTCACAGCACTTTTCAGCTAAATTTTCTGTCCCTTTACAAAACTGAAAAGTGGTCCTTTTAGGAGGCTCTTACCTTTCTGCATTTTATAGTTGAGTAAAGCCTTTCCTCATCACACCTATGAACATACATTAAAATTACTTTCTGACTATGATTTCCATCTACTTCACACCACCAGCTAACTATAAGGGCACCTTCAAAAACTATAATGGATCAAGGAAATCACATTCTGAGAATCATGGAAATAGGAAAAAAAAAAAAACAAAAACATTAAAACTGCCAACCTAGAAAGTTGGTGGCAAAGGTACCACTGTCCCACGAGACTTACTCGGTGAATGGGATCCCACCGTTCTCAAGAGAAGGGAAGGAAACAACAAAACCAAATTAACGACATCCCTCCTGCCTTTTTTCACCCTTTTTATTAACACAATAATGAAGAAAACTTTGGAGAAAGGAAATTTCAAGTTTGATAACAACTGGCAATTTTTTTTCCACATACATATATACTTTACAGTTTCCTATTATTTTCATTACAAGTCCTTCCCCCACGTTTCTCTGGCCTCTTTAGGACCTTTGTATTAATGGCTGTATAACATTCTATTATGTGATGAAGTATAACTTACTTAATCCTACAGTAAGGAAGTTGTTAATTTGAAAATAACAGACTCCCTGAAGTTCACCCATGGTAGGTCAAGAATCCCATTCTTAGGATAAAATCTAATGACAAGGCTAAAGAGTAAGAGCAAACACTTTTAAGGCTTCTAAATATACTGAATATATATTGTAATTATGTGTGGTTTATTCTAAACAATTCAATTAATTTAAGGTTTATTTTTATATTTTGAGCAATTAATTATAAGAACAAATTTTTATGGAGGTGTAAATAGTAATTTAATACATTTGACAAAAGGGAACACAAACATGGCAAAAATCAACCTGACCCCTCATGAGAGTTTGGAGATCCCTGCTCACGGAATGTGGCCAGCCCAAACTGAACACACTCGGACCTAAGGCTGCCTGGTCAGCATCATCTCATTATTGTGGCTGAAAAGGCAGACAATGTGGTAATAAATGTTCATTAAGATTTGTGTTTTAGGGGGCTGGGATTGTAGCTCACTGGTAGAGTGCTTGCCTAGCATGGTAAGGCACTGGGCACTCAGCACCACATATAAATAAATAAAAAATAAAGGTCCGTCAACAACTAAAATATATATTCAAGAAAAAAGATTTGTGTTTCACAAGAAAATAGAGGCTTCTGTACTCACACTATGAGGAGAAACCTGGTAAACTCAAGTTGAAAAGAAAGAAACCCTTTGATATTAACCTGGCTCATTCTGTAGTACTGATTTCTCTACCACAGAATCTTGATCTTCAATTTATGTATTTTCCTGGCTAAAAGGGCTTCACCTAACCCCAAAAGAAAGAACAGTGACAACCTGGTAATCCCAGCTCTTAGGTGCTGCCACTAACTTACCACAAGATCTTAAGCAACCCACTCAATTACCAATTTTTTTAAATAATGAAAAATTATATACATATTTCCCTAATTTTGGAAGCATTAATAAAACAATTAAAGTCTCAAAGAAAAGTGCCACCCAACTGTGTGGTGACAAAACATCCCTACCTATGGTTTCAGTGGAATCCCCTTCTTAAAAGGGCATTCTAAGCTTCTGCAACAATTATACCAATCCTTCTGCCTCTGTTCAATCTTCTGCCTCAAGTCTCAAGGGTTAGCAACCTTCAACTGAGTGAATAGACTAAAATCACTTCACATACTGCACATCACTATAACCAGGCTTTCTCAACTTGAGATCCAGATATAACCACATGCCAAGTGGTTTACAATAAGGTATCTGAGAGATTAGAAAGAATCATCTCACTGTATCACAGAATAACTCTCCTTTCATCAATATTGCAAAAGTAAAGAGGTAAATTTGGCCCCATGAGAAGAAATAAGAAAATTACTTCCATTTCTCTTTTATATTGTAATAAAAATAAAATTGGGAAATTGAAAATTTAAGGATTTAATTTAAAAAAAAAAGGTTTAGTACTTAAAAAACTATGTCACAGAAGACGTGTGTATGTACATGGTTCATTCATTCAACAAATATTAATTATCTACTAAAAGCCACACTCTCTGCACATCCCTCCTTGATAACTGAATGTACTGACTCTCTTATACAACAATTTATAAAATCATAGATATGGAATAGGCACAAACTTCAACAGACTCTATGAACACATGTCTGGGTAAAAACAAGTCTAGTTCTCAGTGTGTGTCCCATTCAGGAAGAATAAAATGCACTTTACCTGTCAATACACTGAGCTGCCAGGCAGGCAGTGGTCAGAATCTCTTTGACATGAGTCAGCCAGTTGGAGGCCTCCAACTTACTGAGCCATCGGTCCATGTTATGTGTTTGGTCATTACAAGCTTCCACAAGTTTGATTAAGCTGTCCTGAAGAATGTGATACCTTTTAAAAGTAAAAGAAAGAAAACATGAAATAGAATGATAAAGGAAGAAACTAAACTAAAAACTCTGCCTCTGAATATCCTAGGGCAAAAATAATCAAATTATTATGTTGGTATACATTAATGTGAGGATGAAAGGTTAAAATATAAATATTTAAACACAAAGATGCTTCAAATGTCTGTCATGGTAAACCATCCTGCATCTGAACAGTGAACTCAGCTCACACAGCTGGGTTACCAGATTAGTAGAGAGGGCCAAAGTACTGCATTTGCAACCCACAATCACAATCCTATTCCCACTGATAGCACTACACACTGGACACTCAAAATAGAATCATCAGTATGATCCAGCAGTTTCATTTCTGGGATTAACCAGAGGAAACAGAATCAGGATCTCAAAGAGATCTATATCCCCATAGGCTCTACACTATTGGCAACAGTTAAGTTATGGAATCAACCTAATATCTATCAACAGATGAATGAGGATAAAGAATTTGTGGTACTATATACGCAATGGAATACTATTCAGCCTTAATGAAGGAAGAAATTCTGTCACTTACAACAACATAGATGAAGCTGGAAGACAACATGCTAACCAAAATAAGACAGAAACAGACAAACACTGCATGGTCTCACTTACAGGTAGAATCTAAAAAAGACAAACTCATAGAAGCAGTGTAGAATAGTAGATCTGAGTATGGGGGGAAAGCAAGGAGGTGGGGAAATGTTGGTCAAAGGATACAAAGTTTCAGTCAGACAACTGTATAGCATGATTGTACAGCATGATGATGATGGTTAATAATAATATACTGTATGCTTGTAAATTACTAAAAAAATAGACCTTAAATGTTTCACCACAGAAAAATAAATACATGAGGTGATGGATATGTAAAGATTGATGTAATCACTTCATGATGTAGAAGTATATCAAAATAGCATATTGTTGCTGGGCATGGTGGCACACGTCTATAATCCCAGCAGCTCCAGAAACCGAGGCAGGAGGATCGAGAGTTCAAAGCCCGCCTCAGCAACTTAGCAAGGCCCTAAGCAACTTAACGAGACCCTGTCTCTAAATAAAATATTTTTTTTTTTTTTTTTTTTTTAAATATTTATTTATTTTTTTAGTTATTGGCAGACACAACATCTTTGTTGGTATGTGGTGCTGAGGATCGAACCTGGGCCGCACGCATGCCAGACGAGCGTGCTACCACTTGAGCCACATCCCCAGCCCCCTCTAAATAAAATATTTAAAAAGGGCTGGGGATATGGCTCAGTGGTTCAGAGCTCCTGGGTTCAATCCCCTATACAAAAACAAAAACAAAAATAAAACATACTGTATACCACAAATAGATGCAATTTTACTTGTGAAACTTTAATAAAACTGACAAAAAAGGTCACAATGAGTTGTTCAGTCAATTGCTGACCTAAATTATTATGCAGGTTTAAAATTAATGCAGGTTTCATTTGAGCACTTGTGATTTTTAAATATCTAATGACTCTTTGCTCCAGTTAGCTTCCAATCAGAGTGCTCCCCATCTCCAGAACCTTTTACCTCTCAATGGACTTATGGATTCGCCTCCACTGGGGATAATGGGCTTCTTGTTCAAAGCCACCTCCTTTGGCTCTAGCTTGCTGAGCCACATTTAGACTCCGAGTGTCAATGATGTAGCCGCGCTTTCCTGCTCTGAGGGTAGCGTTTATCAGCTTCTCGTCTTCCTTGCACCTTCTCCCATTAGTGCCAGTGAGTGGCTGACCACTTCGCATAATTACCTAGAAGCACAATATGCTGATAATCAATAGGACAGCTTTTAAAGTTTCTGAAAACAGAAAGGAAATAGATGGATTAAGAGTACTGTCTGGAAAACAATCACAAAGCATTTTGGAGATGATTTGATCAAAAAACAAAGAAATATTTCCATGTACAAACAATAGTAATGACATAAAACAAAGGCAAAACTTATACTTTAAAACAAAATTTTTCCTATTATCTCAAAATATTTTCACATACTAAACTGTATCATCTCCTCAAGATCAAATATTTCAATTCATTAAATCCATGAATTCAACAACTAACAGACCTGGCCCAGTAACAAAGACAATAATGGTCTTTGAGCCAATAAACCTTGAGTTTGGAGGGGAGTAAAATACCACAACTCCAAATTAACTGCAGACCTCTGTTGACACAGAAATGGCTCTGAAAAGCTGTCCTTCTGTAAAATGAAGTTGACGTCTGCCTACAGCAGTGACAATCAGAAGCTTTTCTCTCTGATGTCCCCAGGCCTCTTTCTGCCTAGAAGGGATCTTTCCCCTGGAAGAAGAGATGGGGGTCTGAAACCTAGTGCAGACAAAGATGAGCACAGCAGTTATCACCTGGGAGACTGATCTCCCTAACAAGTCAGCCCTGGTTGACTTGGTACACAGCCTGGCTTGCTGTATACATCTTCCGTAAGAAGCTGAGTCCCTCTCTCTGCTACATTCTACCAGGTTCAGCCACCTTACTGCTCTTTGAGCCTCATACTCCAAAGCTTAGGCACGTGACAAAATCTGTATGTTCTTTTTCCTTTCATCTGTCTATAGTGTGAACTGAAGTTCCCTAAAGAAGACACACCTACACTGAAAATCCTGCAGTATCTGGCCGACTGGAACATCATGACTGCAGAGGTGAAATGCTGCAGACAGAGTGCCAGGATTATTTTGAACTATCTTTAGTCTCTCTTAATAGCCACTTACTACCAACCTCTGTATCTTATCTAACATTTGACTGTAATCCCAGTGACTCAGGAGGCTGAGGCAGGAGGATGACAAGTTCCAGGCCAGCCTCAGCAACTTAGTGAGATCCTGTCTCAAAGTAAATAATAAAGAGGAGTGGGGAGGTAGCTCAGAGATAAAGCAATCTGGGTTCAATTTCTAGTACCACAATATAAATAAATAAACAATAGCAAATCTTAAAAATTCTGTTTACACTAAATATCCATTTTTAGACATTTGGCAGGGGGGTGGAAGATAGCTATAATTATCTACTAATTTACTATTGGTTTCAAAGTGAGAAGCAGAGTTTATCAGCTGAGAGAAAAAAAGAAGAGAGAAAATAATTTATAAACTAATATTTGGAAAATATCCAGCAAGTCCTTGCCTATTAAATTCCTGATTTCCACGGCTTCTTTTTTTTGGTACTAGGAAATAAGCCCAAAGGCACTTTACCACAAGCTACATCGCCAGTCCCTTTTTATTTTGCTAAGTTGCTGTGGGTCTCACTAAGTTGTTGAGGCTGGTCTCAAACTTGCCATCCTCCTGCCTCAGCCTCTAGAGTTGCTGGGATTACAGAGTGTGCCACAGCACCTAACCTGACTTCCATGTTTTACAAAGTATGAATAATTACGGATCACTCCTCTCTCTTCTGAAAATAAAAACATCTGTTCAAGTCACCATCCACATGGAAATTTGGTGAGAATAATTAAAGTACCTTACCATTATTCTGGGCAGAGAAATTTCTCATTTTTCTACCTTAAAAATGTTGCTGCGAGCATCATATAAACACTAGTTTCCTTTGCACTCTGTCCTGAAGACATGTCTATTTTTACTTTTCTAAGGGTGAGCATGATGGAAAGAATTCAATCATAGCCTCGTCAGAGAAACAAACTGCTCCTGGTTTCCTAGAGTTTATGTGATGGAAGTCCTAGCGAAAGCGACCTGGCCAGCTGCTTCCATGAACACAGAAAAATCAACCTCCCTAGGAAAAGATCCCCAGGCCAAGGCTTTCAGCAGATCAAGCAGCAGTTCTGTACCACTTACCATTCCATTTTTTTTATGATAATAGCTGAGTACTGGAAAGCGCCCTCCATGTCGAAATGTAGCTACCTTCCGAAGCGCTTCATCATCAATGGATTTGGGCACTATGACAATTGGTGGGTAAGAAGGACAGACGGCAAATTCCTTATTGACATAGCTTAGCCTCCATTCACTGGTCTGAAAAACACAAAACATTGCAAAGCTAAGCAAATATCTCAACATTACAAGAGAACATGAAAAAGTTTAAAGGACTTCAGAGGTCAATTTTCATTGATGAAGAAGCAATTTCTTGGGAATTTACCAGAAGGATACCTAGCCTACATTTAAAATACCTCCAGAGTAAAGGTGTTCCACTCATCAGGGCCAGCCTCCTGCACTGCTATGTATTACTAGTTCCTAGAAAGGTCTTGCTTACATTGAACAAAACCTGTTGCTTTATAACTTCCTCTACCGTTTTTACCATGATTTCAGACAACACAGCGTAAGTTCTATATTTCACATGATATCCTATCAAATATTTACAGACAGTCATTTCCCCCTTAGTCACCTCTTCTCCAAGTTAAATGTATTAAATACACAATGATCATAAAGGCCAGTAGAACCCCATTCCTCCTTTCTGGGGACCATCCAGTTTACCAATGGTCCTCTTAAAGCACAGCACCACTTAAGACTATAAAAATCCAGAACACTACCTAGCCAGAACTGATGGAACAAAACTACCACCTACATCAAAACCTTTGTTCCTTTCTGCTATTTAGAAAAGGAAGAAAACAAAGATTGGTAACATCTTCCTTAAGAATGATAAAACTCACTACTAGCCAGGCGCAATAGCACAGGAGGCTGAAGCAGGAAGATCACAAGTTCAAGGACAGCCTTGGCAATCTAGTGAGGGCCTAACCAATTTAGTGAGACCCTGCCTTAAAATTAGAAAACTTTAAAAAAAAAAAAAAAAAAGGACTGAAGATGTAGCCCAGTAGTAAAGTATCTCTGGGTTCAATCCCTAATACTAAAACAAAAAAAACTAGCTACTTGGACTAGACACTTAAAAGTCAATGAAATAATCTGACTCAGTAGACTAAGGACTCAAAACATACCACATAAAACTATCAAATACCTGTGTACAACCAGAGATATGAAAAATTGTGCTCTGTATGTATAATATGAATTGTAATGCATTCAGTTGTCATATGTAACAAATAAGAATAAAAAATAATAATAATAAATCTATCAAATGCCTTATTTTAAACAGCAGAAATGAAAACTGCTTGAAGACAATAAAAGGCTTTTTATAGTAAAAAGAAATTCAAATTTCCCATAATCCAGGTTGGCCTAATATACTAACCATAAACTTCACTGGTAGGAAGATGAAGCTAAAAAGTGTGTTTGATGTACTATAACATGCAGCTGGTTTTTTCATTTGTTTGTTTGTTTGTTTGTTTTTGCATTGCTAGGGAATTGAACCCAGGGTCTCAGGCAAAAACTGGTATTTTAAAAACTTGCACAAAATTCAACACCAATTTTTAATTACTTTGTTTTTCTACTTTTCAAAGAAGGAGAAGGGGAAGGGGAAGGAGAAGGAGAAGGAGCAGTAGCAGTAGTAGTTTCTAAAAGATTCATTACCAAAAAAAAAAAAAAATAGTTACCCATTTCCTGGGCACCTGGGAACCCATCCCGATTCCATTTCTCCAAAGTCAATTATTTTCAAGATTATTTTCTATGTGAGTGTTTACCTCCAAATTTCTAAATAGAATGCTGAGGCTTTTATTCCTTGAGTTTCTACTATTACATAATTATTTTCTGACTTCCTACTCTAAAGAATGATATGGTCCTCCATTTGATTTGCAATGCCACTCTGATAATAAAAGTTTTTGAGAGTACAGGGCAGCTCTCTATTCTAAGCCACTGGTCTATCTTAATAATTTCCATAGCTTTTAAAATAAGCTTGATGTCTAGTAGGCTGCATTCTCTCTTCCTTCCATTTTTGTCTTTAATAGTAACATGGCTCCTCTTGGTCCTTTGCTCTTCCATGTAACTTTTATCAATTCCATGTACAAATCAATTGGAGTTTCAAAAAGGTATACAGACTTTATACATCAGTTAAGAGAAATCTCCCTATCTAGGGCATACTATTCTGCTCAGTTAAGCTTTAATTTTTTCCATAAAGCTGTACAATTTTCTCAGTAAAAGCCTTATATAGAGCTGGGGTTCTGGCTCAGCGGTAGAACACTCGCCTCACACATGCGAGGTCCTGGGTTCGATCCTCAGCACCACATAGATAAATAAAATAAAGATATTGTGTTCAACTACAACTAAAAAAAAAGCCTTATGTATCTTTGCTTAGATACATTCCTAGAGACACGACAATGTTGCATTTTAACTGCATCTTTGCTTACAATCTCCTGATCCGTTCATCTTCCTACATAGACCACATAATCAGCAAATAATAGCAATTTTGCTTTTTTCATTTTATTCCTTTTCCTTGTATTTTCCCCCTTATTGACCTGAGTAGGAACAGTAATGGTGGCACATTTGCCTCACTCTTGAACTCAGAGAATGACAAAAAGTGCTTTTTGTATGCTTTTGGGAGTCACCATTAATCATTTTGGGTTTCTGTTTGTTTTTGTAATGCTGGGATCAAACTCAGAGCCTCACACATGTTAGGCAAGTGCTTTCCCACTGACACCTACCAGACACCTACCCCCATCTGTGTGTGTGTGGCGGGGCTTCTCAGATTAAACCAAGGATCTTGCACATGCTAAGCACACACTCCACCAATGAATTAAACCCCCAGAACTGTTAAGAGGTTTTATCATGAATACATAGCTATCAAACTTTTTTCTCTTCTATCTAATACCATGTAGGTAGCTTGTCTTTTCCTTCTTGCTAATTGTGTAATATTAGCTTTGCTTTGCTGTTCAGGGACTAGACAACAACATGGCTCAGATTTCTTTTTGACCACCCTATGTGGTGTTTGCTGGGACACCTTAACCTCTTTAGGTTCAATTACTTTTACTGAGTCTAAAGAATTCTCAATTATTGTCTATTTAAATACTACCTTTCTTTCACTTTCTGTATTATCTGCTTCTGGAACTCTTATGTGATAAATAAATATTGGATCTTCTTTCTTTACTATGAATGCTCTAACCTCTTTTTTCCCCCAGCTTCCTTGTTTCTCTATTCTGTATTCTGGGTAATTATTTCAAACCTGTTCCAGATTTCTCTTTAGCTCTTTCTAACCAGCTATTTAATCTTTACATTAAATTATTTTCTCTACTTTTTAATCACCTTTAAGACAAAAGGTGAAAAGTAAGTTATACATCTTGACTGCATAATTTCATGGGTCTTGACAGTTGGCACACCTGGTAAATATCCAATGCTAAGAAATCACTAATCTATTTTCCATTGTTTTTGAAGTAACACCTAAATCTCTCTGGGAGTGCAGCTCAGTGGTACAGTGCATGCAAGGCCCTGGGTTCAAGCCCTAGCGCACATACAACACACACACAAACCTTTTACAACCAAGGTCATAAAGATTTTTTTCCTGTGCCTTCTTCCAGATGTTTTGGCTGTTTTAGATCTACAATACATTTAGGTCTACCACATATTTTGAGTTGTTTGTGGATGGTTTGAGGTACCCATCTAGATTTTCTCATATGGAGATCAAATTATTCCAAAGGTATTGGCTGAAAAAGCTGTCTTTTCCCTATGAAATCACCTTGCTACCTTTTGTCAAAAATCAACTGCCCATAAAGGGAAAGGTTTCTTTCTGGACCCTATATTCTGCTCATCTGTTTGTCCTTATGCCAATATCATTCTTTCTTGATTACTGCCATTTTATATGAAGCTCTAAAATCGAGCATTTTAAATACTTTATTTTTTTCAAAGGTGTTTTGGCTATTCTAGTCAATTTGCATTTCAATATAAATTTTAGACTCTCTTTCATTTCTACAAAATCACCTGTTGGAATACTGATAAGGGTTGCATTGAATTTATAGATCAATTTGGACAGAACTGCCACCATAGTGAGCCCAATCCAGCCTATGCCTGTTTCTGTAAATAAAGTTTTATTGGAATCTGGTACACCTATTCATTAGTGTATTGTCTACTGCTGTTTTCATGCTACAACAACAGAGTCGAGTAGTTACAACAGAGCACATGATCAGTGAAACCTAAAATATTCACTATCTTGTCCTTCCCCAAGTCAACTACTGATCTTAACCATGTTGTTTTGCAATTAATGAACACAGTATATCTCCTTTTATTTAAATTTCCTACAACTTCTGTCACCATTGTTTTGCATCTTTCAATATACAGATCCTGAACCAGGTTAAATTTATTCCTAAGTATTTTATTCATGTTAAGAGTGACTGTTGCCAATGCAACTGATCTTTTTATTTCCTTCTTTTTTGGGTACCAGGGATTGAATTCAGGGGCACTCAACCACTGAGCCACATCCCCAGCCCTATTTTGTATTTTAGAGACAGGGTCTCACTGAATTGCTAAGCACCTCGCTGTTGCTGAGGCTGGCTTTGAACTCGCGATCCTCCAGGCCTCAGCCTCCCAAACCATTGGGATTATGGGGTGCACGTTCTTCTTTTTCTTTATGACATTGTCTTGAACTTCTCCAACTTCTGGACTCAAGTGATCCTTCTACCTCAGCCTCCCAGTGCTGTGATCATAAGTGCACACCCAACTTTGTATACTGATCTTATATCAAGCAATTTTGCTAAACTTGCTTATTAATTCTAATTATCTTATTGCTTTCTGCCTTTATTTTTACTCTCTCCCTCTTTCTGTTTTTGTCCTCCCTAGCTTCCTAAGTTGGTGTTTAGGTCCATGCTTTTAGACTCATTTTCTTTTCTCATGTGAGAATTATAAGTTGCACACTTATCTCCAAACTCTGCCTTACCTATACTCCACAGATTTTGAGAAACTGCATTCTCATTATTTTTTGTTCACAATATTTTCTAAGTGGTTTCGTATTTGAACCACAGATCATTTATAAATATTCTGTGTAATTTAGAAATATTAGGAGATAGATATTCCTAGATATCTTAGTGTTATTGATTTATAATATATTTGAGGTCAAAGATTATAGTCTATGTGATTTCAATCCTAGTAAATTTATTTAGATTTAGTTAACACCCCAGTTTATGGTTTCTCCTGGGAACACACCACGTGCCTCTTGAAGAATGCATATTATGGAGAAGTTAAAGCAGCATTCTATAAATATTAAGCAATGTTCTTCAGACCAGATCTTTTATGTCTCTACTTGTCTTGCTGTTGTTATTTTAGCCTAGTTCTATTAATTGACAAGAGGACCATTTTAATAATATCTTATCCTGACTGTAGAATTGCATATTTCTTCATTTCTGTCAACGTGTGCTAATACATACATACATATGTTAAATATAAAATGACCTTTTTCATTATTATAAATGTGCCTGTCTTAAAGTCTTTTTATTTTTTAATCTGGAATTAGCAGTTACTCATGCCTTTTTATGCTTATTATTTGTTCAGTACATCTTTTTTCATCCATTTTCAAACTATCTGTGTTTATATTCAAAACACATCTCTTATACACAGAACACATCTGGATCTTCTATTTTTCTTTAATTCATTCAGACAATTTCTGCCTTTTAATTGGAGTGCCTGACTCACCAATATTAAAATATATATTGTTATAGCTGGACTTTAGTCAAGCATTTAATTATTTTGTTTGTTCCCTGTTTTTATTGCTGTTTCTTCTTTCTTGCCTTCTTCTGGATTAAATATTTTTTAGAATTCCAGTTTAACTTTTTAAATATATTTCTTTGCATTTTATTAAAGCAATAGCTCCAGGTTACTGGTTTTCAAACAGGGGTGATTTCTGCCCCAAGGGAACATTTGTCCATGTCTGGAATCAACTAGGGAGTGGGAGGGAGAATGCTACTGGCAAATGGTAGTGCCCGTGCCTGGGATGCTGCTAAACATACTCTGAGGCACAGGGAAGCCACCTGCAACAAGAATTTAAGAGCCCAAACGTCAACACTGCCAAGGTTGACTAATCCTATTCTCAGGATGACATTATACATCTTAAAGATATCTTAAATATCTTTAACATTTATCTTTAATTAAATATTATAATTTACATCTTTAACTTAAATATGATAACACTTCTATTTATTTATATTTACCTTATATATTTATACTTATAAATAAAATTACATTTACTTAAATATTAGCCTATATTATATAAAATGTAAAACACTTGCCAACTCTTTAGGTGTATGTATCCACTCAGCCATTCCAGACTAAATTCTGACGCTATTGCTTCCAGGTGTAGTCTATCTACACACATGAACAGTGCAAAGGCAGTGTTTTAATTTTTGCTTTTGTCTTCTTTTTATTTTAAACTTACTTTTTCTTACCTTAGTAGTTTCTACAGCTGTTTTAAAATCCTTGTGTGATAATTTGAACTTCTGAGTCATCCTGGGGTCAGTAATTGTTGGTCATTTTTTCTCAGGGGGAGTGGGTGACATTATCCTGGTTCAACTTTGGATTGTATCCTAGACATCTGAGATACACTAAGGAAACATACATGCTCCACATAGGCACCGTATGCTATGCCTTTGGAGAATGCTGAAGTTTTGTTTTAGCAGGCAAATCATTTGGTAAGACTTATCTGCAAACTCTAGCACTGTGATGCAAGGCAGCTCAGCTCTGTGGCCAAACTGCCCCCAAGTCAGCCAGAGACTGGAGGCAGTATGCAGGATCAAGGATCCCCTTCTATGGCCAGTTCCTGTCCAGAATTCGGCACTCCTCTCCTGCATCTCTGGCTGCCCTAGGCTCCCTCCCCTGGCTTTTCCCACCAGAAAGAAAGAGGGCTTTCTACTAGAATGTTAGCTGCTTCACATCAATAATGCCACAACCATGCTACCCTCAGGACAAAGCCCGCCCACACATGCAAACACAGGAAACTCATTGTGCCATTCACTTCCTCTAAATATTGACTCCCTTTAAAATATGCTGGTTTTTGTTTACTAACCAGGTAGTTTTGGGTAGATGATTCCACTGTCATTGATAACTGCAGAAGGGCTTGTGAGATAGGAGCTACTCAACCAGAACCAGAACCAGAAGCAAAACCTAATCATCGCCTTTTGCATACAAAATTTCTAAAGTGCTAGCAGAAGGAATACAGATAAGCTATATGTGTATTTCAGCAAAGAATCTGAAATAATCTTTCTGGATAATTCTTGAATAACAGCATGCTAGAAGTGGAAGAATTCTTGAGATCATTTTGCTCAACACTTTTTCATTCTGCCAACAATAGGCTCCTAGCAAGTTAAGCCATCAATAATGTATCTGGGATACAACACAAAGTATCTTTACAGCTATGTTTTTATTCTTTCTTTTCAATACCATATCTTTGGGACTAATGGAACTTAAAAAAAATCCCCGCATGAGAATATAAAATCCCTTTCCTTTCTCACTTGGCTGCTATAGATACCTTTGCTCTTTAAATTCCATGGTTCCTTATCCCTTTGTCTTGGGCCCCTCAATGCTCACTTATAGAGGTTATCATAAAAGTATGAGGAAGAAGAAAGAGTAAACTAGCCAGAACAGGGAAAAAAAGAACCTAATTTTAGCTACCTGGTCTGACTAACCCATATTAATAAAAGTTAACCCATAGAAACAAATGTGCTAGATGGTTCTTTGGTACTATCTGAAGCACCCAGTGGATTCAATGGGTTCAATACAATTGTGACGATGGCTTAGAACCTAATTACTAGACATGAAGTTGTTTCTAAGGAGACATGTCCAATAATTAACTCACAATATGCCAGGACTACTTTTATGCACATACTAATGTTTTATCAATGTCATTTTCAAAATTTAAAAAGTAATATTTAGAATACATTAATCTTCTGGAAGAAAAGGCTTTTCAGCTGCAGCAGTGAACAAATCATACAAATCTCTGAATGTCAGAGACTGCGATATGAACAACTAATAGAAACATCTTTTAGGCACAGGTAAGACAACTTCACTTGATCTCTCTTCAAAGGAAAGTTATCATTCTCACAAATGAGACAAAATGCTGCGTTGTTTCTAATTACCCATAATTACCAAACATTAACTCACAGCTGAAGAGTAGAGTTCAAACTCTTGCTCAGGAAGGAAGGAATGCCAAACATTAACTCACAGCTGAAGAGTAGAGTTCAAACTCTTGCTCAGGAAGGAAGGAATGCCAGCCATCTTCTATCACCTCAAACATGGGCCGGTAGAAGAAAGGATACATCAGAGTGACAGAGTCCAAGGTAGACAATGCCTAGTGATAGAAAAAAGAAACATGCCATAACTTCAGCACATTCTAACTGAAGAAATGGAAGCAAGCACATGCCTTGCCTAATTATGATACACACCCATTACAGCTCTCTTTTTATTTATAGACATAGTGATAGTCTTACTGAAGCCAATTTCCATGTTTCCAGCATCTAATAAAGCACCTGATATACAACATTCATCCAATATGTATTGCTGAATGAAAAGAAAAAAAAAAGAAAAACTTTGCACACAATGGCACAATTTTCTAGGAGAAAATGAAACTACTCTTCATACAATTTAATCAAGTTTAATAAAAAGGTCCAAGAACTTCTAGGGATCAGAGAACAAAGAGTTTTGAGTTATTCAGTGAGGTCTTGGCTAAAATCCAGTTACTAGCTATTTAAACATATGTAAATTATTTATTTGTTTGTTTTGTGTGTAAATTATTTATAATGAGTGCCTTATAGTAAGTGCAAACAAAAATGATAAAGCTCAGTGGCCAAAACTCGGTCAAGAGACAGACCACTGGACTCAGGTTCCAAATCTAGCTGTGCAGTAGCAGGTAAGAAGTGGGCAAGTCCATTTATCTCTACACCTCAATTGCTCAACTGTAACAAGGGAGAAATAACAATACCCAGGGGCCCTGTAAGGTTACCAGCAGCATTAAGAGAGATCACATATGCAACAAGCATACATGCAATGCTCCTGGCACCTAAGGAAACAAAATGTAATTTTAGCTATCATATGTGCCTTGTGTGAGGAAATTCAATCAATGTTTATTTCCTCCATCTTAGAACCAATATGCCAATTGGTGAGGTATTTTCATATCTTTATGCTACAGTGACCTGGTCTCAAGTTGGGGTAATAACTCTATGTTCCCCAAATGAGATTACATTCATCTGCAGTACTTGAATTTTGGGTAATAAACCAGGAAAACCTGAGCAGATGGAGGGACAGACAGATGGAACATCATTCCTCGCCTGGCAGATACGTCTTTTTGACAGGGGGTTACAGAAAAAAGCAATACTATGGCTGGGAAAGAAGGGCACCTAATCAATTAGCATAGTTCAAAGGGCAGTAAACTCACTTGGGGGAGGTTATGACAAGTCTCAGAACCCCACAGCTCTCAGAAAGAAGTTACCTCCCTCTAGGTCACAGTAGGGTCTGGCTCACAAAAGGATATGCCCATGATTTCCAATACTACACTGGATATGTAGTTCAGCAGTTTAACAAAAACCATCCCTGTCCAAAGTTATTTATAAACTTTGTCCAAAGTTATTTGTCTTTGGATGCCAACTGCACCAATAGAAGCACAAAAGCACATGCCCACATCTGTTCTACGTCAGAGCTGCTTTAGTCAGTTCAACTGGTTTTTTTCTTTTCAGTGCTGAGGAAAAAATCCTGGGCCTTGCACATGGCAGCTGCTATTTTAAATGTAAATCAACAACCACTCTGTAGGCAATAAGCATTCACATTTCTACTTGTGATTATGTTTTATATCACTAGAGATAAGTCTTCTCCTTTAAACACATTAATGCTAGAAGAACTGAAAACATTTCAATTCTAAAAGGCAGCTGAAACTCAGCAGGAAAAAAAGCTTCATCATGCTTCTTTCTACAATTTAGAAAACTGAGTACTTGCCAGTTATTCTTCCAATGGAAGTCTATCTGTGGCAGCAGAATATTTTGGGGTAAGCAGACTCTTCTTGATTATAAAGAACAGGTAGAGGAAGCCTATGCTATTGAGGGAATCACTTATCACCCCTAAATTAAGATGTATGCAGCATGGAGGATCGGGGTTGGATGCCAGGCAAAGGCTTGTGGCCAGGTCTACTATATGTATTTGCTATGCTATGAAAACATTCAATAGAGCACTCATTTTCAGAGGTCAAATTAGAAAGATAGCTTATTATTTATGACTTTTCAACCCTAAGAGTTTCTACACAATGAGTCAATTTCTAAAGAGTTCTGGGTAATATACAACCATTTAGGCAACTGATTGGTGTCAGCTGCTATCAAAGCTAAGTGAATGCAATCAATAAGTGGGCAACAAGCTCTGCCCCTTTCTTCACCACTGGCAGCATCTCTAACACCCACCAGCCGGCCATCTCACAGATCACTAGTCAGAGAGAGAAGAACAAAAATGTGGATAGGTCAGTAAAAATCCAACCTCACATTTTCAAACACACCCCCCACCCCCGCCACACACATTCATATGCTCTCCCCACCCCCCTACCCCCGCCTCCTTTCCCCACCTTCTCTCTCCCTCTCTCTCAACTGAAGAGAGCCAGTGGCATTCCTCTGCCCAAATAGTGGAACATTATTTCAACTTAATGCTCTGGAATTTACAATGCTTTCTCACTCAAGTTGAAGAATGTGGCCAAACCAGTGTCATGTTACTTTCAAATGACAACTGTGTAAAACAGTTCACTTCATCTTCTCATTTCCTTAAATATTTAAAGTTTAGCAAATGCACAAAAAAGGTTACATGCCATTCACTCAAAATGGTTGCTTCTCTATTTCTCTAATCTTATATCAAAAACAAGCAATATATCCTACTACTTATAGATTTTTAAGAATTTCTCCCTTTTCTTCCTCTATAATTATCTAGAAAACAATACAAACCCAGAGCTAATTAATAAAATTTAGTGGCAATGATTTAGCCTAAAGTAACTTAAAACTTGAGTGCATACCCAATTTGGTTAGGATGAGGTGAAAATAATATAAGCTCTTCAACTGAAATTTAAATTATTCAAGTAAAATTTCTATTACTTGTGATCTGAACCAATGTTCAACATTGTTTAAGTAAATACAAAGCAAACACATCCTGTCGTAAGCAAACTGATGAAAATGAATGTAAACGGAAAAGTAAATGGAAATTCATTTACTAAAAAACAAGACTAAAACCACAGGTGATAGTGACTTGCTTTAGTTGTGAGGATCTGTTGCAGTGATGTGGACTTATTATACACAACTGAATGGTACCTGTAGACATGTTTAAGATAGTAAATATCATATGGATATTTTTCCCACAAATTCTTACCATTAAACTTCACTCAGTAAATGACAGAAGGCACTCAAATGGTAGCTATATTCACACATATTATACTAAGCACTCCACAAAAATCAACTAATAACATTCTTACAACCTTAAAAGGTAGCAAATATTATTCTCCTTTTACAAAAAAGTAAAAAACTAGTTGTCAAAGAGATTAAAAACTTTGCCCATGGTCATAAGCTACCAAGCAATAAAGTCAAGAATCAAACTGTATTATAACAAGAATCATATTACATTATTAATATTTCTACCCAAAGGTATAGGGTTGCATCTATTACAAAAGATATACTAATATATTAAGAAAAAAAAATCTGTGTGTAGTTACTTTCCTGGAAGAGAAAAAAGGAAACACTCTCATTAATGGTTCTCAATGTTTGAGGAAGCCCTCAGAAGGTGGGGAATGGTGTGAGTCAATGGGGGCTTCTACATCCCCCAATACATACTCACTGTAATGTGACCCAAATCAATTCTAGCTGTTATTTATTTTATTGGCTTAAAATTCCACATATGATGCTATTTGAAAAAAAAAAAAAAAACCCTTCGGAGCATCAAAAAAAAGTTGACCAACTGTCTTTGATTCAGAGAAAAATATTAAGATTTAAATAATAAACATGAAATGTCAAACAAGACTGTAAAGTTTCTCCAAAGAACCCCTTTACTAAATTCTCTAAATTTTCCCCATTAACTACATACTCGTACATACTCAAGTAAAACAATATCTATTATTTGACCACTATGAACCCATGGAAATTCTATAAAGTCCCTGGAATGCAATTCCACAGAAATCTAAGCAGTTCATGGAATAAGGGTTACTCATATAAAATGATTAACACTAAAAACTGCTATATGTCAAAACAGTCCCATGACACTCAAGTAAACAATGAGTCAGGATAAGGCTTTTCCTGTCAGTTTTCAGTATCTGAATCACAAAACATGATAAAACAGCTGAATTCAGTCAGAATGTAACATTTTTCTTTCTACCAGATTTTGCCTCCAAAATACTTACCTCAATGGAACTGGCTATATTTAAACATTCCTCCATTCCAGGAATATCCAACTGAATAATTCGAAAATCTTTACATTTTATGATGATAGTACCCAGAGATCCCACAAATCTGTAAGAAATTACAAATCATACTTAGGAATACATACATTCCTAATTTTAAATATATGATTATTTCTTTGAAAAAAAATGCAGTTGCAATCAACAACTTTATCTAACTTCCCTCCCCACTTAGTCTAATTAAGAATCAAGTTTGCATCACTAAAATGTTAGCCATAAAGTATTTAAAACACATGTACCTAAAATTTTTTCAAATTTGTAAAATAATTCACATTAGGTTAAGTCATTTAATGAAGATTACTTGGAATCTTACTCCAATAGGAAAAAAGATCTGTAATTAACATGTTAAGCATCTGTAGAGAAATGTTCTGCAGCATAGGAAAATTGTTATTTCAGATTGTATCTACTTCTAAGATTATAGAAACTCATTAAATATCTCTTTTCAATATTTAAAACTATGCACTTGTAAGAGAGAAGACCCAAATAAACAAAATTAGAGATGAAAAAGAAGATGTCACTACAGACACTTCTGTAATCCAGAGGATCATTAAGAACTATTTTGAGGACAGGGGGTTGTATGTAGCCCAGTGGCAAAGCGCTTGCCTAGCATGTTGTGAGGCACTAGTCGATCCTTAGCACCACATAAAAATAAACAAATAAATAAAGGCATTCTGTCCATCTACAACTACAAAAACATTTTTTAAAAATGTTTTGGGGGGCTGGGGTTGTGGCTCAGTGGTAGAGTGCACTCCTAGCACAAGCAAGGCCCTGGGTTCAATCCTCAGCACCACATAAAAATAAATAAAATAAAGGTATTACGTCCAACTACAACTAAAATATAAATATTTTTAAAAAGAACAATTTTGAAAATCTATACTCCAATAAACTGGAAAATCTAGAAGATACTGACAAACAATTAGATATATATGACCTGCACATATATTGAATCAGGGAGATATAGAAAACCTAAACAGGCCAATATCAAGTAATGAAATTGAAACAGCAATTAAAAGTCTTCCAACAAAGAAAAGTCTAGAAACATGGATTCTCAGCTGAGTTCTACCAGGTCTTTAAAGAAGAACAACACACTTTCTCAAATTACTCCATTAAATTGAAAGGGAGAGAACACTTCCAAATATATTCTATGAAGCCAATATAACTCTGATGCCAAAACCAGTAAAAGACACATCAAGGAAAGAAAACCCAGATGAATCTATATTCCTGATGAACTCAGATACAGAAATCCTTAGCAAAATATTAGCCAACAGTATTCAGAAACACACCAAGAAGATAATACACCATGAACAAGTGGGTTTCATCCCAGGGATGCAAGGTTGGTTCAACACACACAGATCAATAAATGTAATTCACCACGTAAATAGAATTGAGGACAATAATCATATGATCACCTCAACAGATGCAGAAAAGGCCTTTGCTAAAATCCAGCACCCATTCATGTTAAAAATGCTAGACACACTAGGGTGAAATATAACTTACTTCAACATTATAAAAGCTATGTATGACAAATCCAAAGTCAAAATCATACTGAATGGAGAGAAACTGAAAGAACTGCCTTGAAAATCAGGACCAAGACAACTACTATTCAACATAATTCTCAAAACTCTAACCAGAGCAATCAGACAAGAGAAAGAGATTAAAAAGTTACAAATGACATGATCCTTTATGGAAAAGACTCAAAAAAACTCCACTATAAGACATCTAGAGCTGATAAATGAATTCAGCAAAGTAGCAGGATATAAGATCAACACTCATAAATCATCAGGCTTCCTATACTCCAACAAATTATGCAAAGAAAGAAATCAGGAAAACCCTCCCTTTCACAATAACCTCAAAAAAATAACAAAATAAAATACTTAGGAATTAATCTAATCAAGGAGGTAAAAGATCTCTACAATGAAAATAATAGACACTAAAGAAAGAAATTTAAGAAGAACTTAGAAGATAAAAAGAACTCCCATGCTCTTGGATAGGCAGAATTAATATTGTCAAAATGGCCCATACTACCAAAAGCAATATATGGATTCAATGCAATCCTCATGAAACACCTCTGACATTCTTCACAGAACTAGAAAAAAAAAAAAGTCCTTAAATTCATTTAAAAGAATAAGAGACTCAAGAATAGCCAAAGCAATTCTAAGAGATAAGAGTAAGGCAGAAGACATGAAGACACCTGATCTCAAGTTATACTAGAGAGCTATGGTAACAAAAACAGCCTGATATTGGCATCCAAATAGACATGAAAACCAATGGAATGGAAGACAGAGACAAACCCACATACATGGCAGCCATCTGATACTTAACAAAGGAACCAAAAATACACACTGAAGAGCCTTTTTAACAAATGGTTTGGGAAAACTGGATAGTTATATGTGGAAAAATGAAATTAGACTCCATCTCTCACCAGCACAAAACTCAAAAGATCAAAAACTGAGGAATTAGATCAAGAAATTTGCAACTGCTAGAAGAAAACACAGAGTCAACACTTCATCATATAGATGCAGGCACCAGCTTACTCAACAAGACCCCTAAAGCCCCAGATACAAAACCGTAAATCAATAAGTAGGATGTCATCATGTTAGAATCTGTAAACAAGTCAGGATGGCGCCTAGCAAATGTTAGAGTCTGTAAACAAGTCTGGATGGCGCCTGGCAAAATGCCAGAGGGAGTGGTTTGTGAAGTAACACCAGCAAGCCACTAAGTGTGGAGATTCCTTATTGGTTGACTGATGTATCTAGTTTATGTTAATTAGATAAGCTGTGTGAAATGTATAAATACCACTCCTGTCCTACAATAAACGGCTTCCACTCCTGCTGTATCAATGTACACAAGTTATTTGTCACCCCCCCACACTCCGGTTATTTTGCCCAGCCAGCCGGGCTGTGGCATCATCATATTAAAAAGCTGTATTTGTATTATTTATAGAAAGAAATTCTAAAAAGTAAAAAATAAAGAGGCAATTCCTCAAAAGACACAAACTACCAAGGAACATTCAAGAAGAAATAGTCTGACTAGTTCTGAATCTATTAAAGAAATTGAAATTTCCTTAAAATCCTCCCCACAAAGAAAACTCCAGCCCCAGATGGCTTCACTGATGAATTCAACAAGACGTTTAATGGAAAAACACTACCAATTCAAGACAAAACTCTTCCAGCAAATTGAAGAGAAGGGAATTACTTCTTAAGTTATTCCACAAGACCAGTATTATCCTAATACAAAAAACAGACAGACAGACTACAAACCAATATCCATCATGAACATAAATGCAAAATTTCTAACCAAAACACTGGTAAATCAAATCCTACAACATACAAAAAGGACAAAAAATCACGACTAATTGGGGTTTATCCCAGGAATGCAATGTTAGTTGAACATTTGAAATCAAGTTATACATCACACGGACAAACTAAAAAGAGAAAAACCTCATATCTTCTATCTCAACAGATACAGAGAAAGGCGTGACAAAATCCCACATCTGTTCTTGCTTAAAATCAAAACAAACAACAACAACAAAAACTTTCAACAAAATAGAAACAGAAGGTAGAAACAACTTTCACAGCTTGTTAAGAGCAATTACATTAAAAAAAAAAAATCTAAGCCTAATAGCCCACTTAATGGTGAAAATTTCTTTCTGCAGTAATATCAGGAATAACACTGAAAGATTCACTCCTACTTCATCTATCCAACATTGTACTGAAAATTATAGCTGGTGCAGGAAGGCCAGAAGAACAAATAAAAGATACCCATGTTAAAAAAGAAGACAATTGTATTCACAGATGATATGATTGTGTATTTAGAAAATCAAATGGGGGCTGAGATTGTGGTTCAGAGGCAGAGTGCTTGGCTACCATGTATGAGGCACTGGGTTCAATTCTCAGCACCACATATAAATAAATAAAATAAAGTCCACTGACAACTAAAAAAATATATATATTTTAAAACAAATCCACATTTCTTGCAAAACATTAGTATTAAAAAAGAAAAGAAAATCCAATGGATTGAGGGTGGAGCTTAGTGGTAGGGCACTTGTGTAGCATGCACAAGTTTAATTCCCATCACCATAAAATGAATTTCACAGAAATCCTCTCATTGAAAAACATGTTCAATGAAAGTACAAAAAAATGGTTCACTACTCACAGTTCCCAAGAGGAGGGGCCACAACATGCCACACCACATAAGGCCACACAGTGTGCTCTAGGTCGGTCAGAAAGAAGGAACAAGGAGAAAGCATGGGGCCAGGGTCTTCACAGTGTTTCCACAGGAAGGAATGTGTAAGGCAGTGGACAAGCTTAGCAAATTTAGGATTGGACAGTATGACTAATTTTGGTGGGCTCTAGGATATAGGGATGGGCCTTCCCCGTGTGGTATATGGCCCTGTCATTATTGACGCCAGGGGGATAGTGGTTCTGACTCACAGGGGAATGAATATACCTGGATGTGGTTGGTTTGCCCATCAAAGGCATCGCACAGGCAAGTTGTTTGCTATCTCTAGGAATAAGCTAATCCTGGGAGGGGCAGTCAATTCACACATTTACAAGGCCCTAAGATGTTGAAGTATCATGAAATATACAAAATAAGAAGCATGACTAATGCAAATGAACAAATGGAAATTGAAATTAAAAAATAACAGCACTAGGGTCTGGGGCTATGGCTCAGTGGTAGAGTGCTTGCCTGGCACACGTGAGGCACTGGTTCGATCCTCAGCACCACATAAAAAAATAAAAGTATTGTGTCCACCTACAACTAAAAAAATACATAAAAGTTAATCAATTAAAAAGAATAACAGCACTAAAAGTAATATTAAAATATAAAATATACAGAAGAAAAGCTGACCAAAGAATTTAAAGACCTAAGTGAAAACCACAAACTTGGCTGAAAAAATATTAAAAGATCTAAAAAAATAAATGGAAAAATATATTTTGTTCATAGGTTGCCAGACTCAAGATTTTAAGAGGTCAATTCTACCAAAATTAATCTACTGATTCAACATATTCTAATGCAAATCATTGCAGGCCTTTATGTAGAAATTGAAAA